CCGACTGAAAGTCTTTGTATGATTTGATATTAAACAACGCATTCTTTGGGTAAAGTAAGCCAATTATCTAAATTGTTTAAATGCTTCAAATGTATTATGGACTTGAAAGTTTCTATTCATTTCGTAATAGTCACACGAAATTTTAACCTTTACTCATCTTGAGAAAGCAATTTGAGTTTTACTGCCTTATTTCCCCTGGGTAATCACCATTTGGTATATCATTGTATTAATTCAAGGAGCAAATTTGGGTGGATTTCAGCACATCGTCTCCTGTATTGTATTGACCCTTGAAATGGCTCCTCTTTCAGTTCCACATCTTTGGCTGCGAATAACTTGGAGATCAAAATTCATTGAACCTTCGGATAAAAGTCCACTCACACTGCCAGATGGACTACAATTTACAAGATGGCATATGGCTGTACCCATTATTAGGGATGAAGCTACGTGGAAGGGGCAAGGACCATGCTCAATTGTTGCTCGTCTCAAAGAGATTAATGTAAATATGGAAACAGGCTTTGTACATAATCCAAACTCTTTGCCAAAGGGACACAACCTTGCATATAATAAGATCAAACTGAACAAATGTAGGGGGAGGGAGAGGGTTATTTGGCTAGAACGTTATTTACTGAAATATGACACATTGATGGCATGTTCTTTAAGTTATTCTTTATCACTTCGATGAAATTTTATAAGTTGCGCAGGTAAATATAACAAAAACCTGATTGCTATTACGCAAAAATTTCATTGAACTTGTGTTGGTTAAAGGGCGAGTTAAAACTCACGAGCAGATAGTAATGACTAGTTAGTTCTGCAATCTTTCAAAAAGCTCCTTAATTAAAGATATGACCCAAATGTTCAAAATCTTATCTTTAATTAACTTCAATGTTGTATATGCAATATTGGTAATAATTTAAATGCCTATCATTAAAAAATTGCCAATCAGGTTAGCTCGTATAGCTCGTATTTCACTTTAATTATGTTATTTTTAATTAAAAGTAAAGAATATTTATGTTCCTTCTATGCAAGAAGGCCCTTAACACCAAATTTTCATTATGCAATGCAGTACAAACGTACTTAAATCAACTAAAGTCATCGTTGCTTCAGTTTAGCGGCAAATAAATTCTTATTCAACCGTGAGGAAGTGAACAAGTAATATAAGGTTATAATGGAAAAGGTTGAAAGCACTTTTTAGACTTTTGTAAAAGAGATTTAAAAAAATAGTTTGATTTTTCGACTCAGGTTCCATATCCTTGGAGAAGACTTACTTCTCTTGCTGATAATTGCTGATCTTATCGCAACACATTTAGTATTCCGTGGACACGTAATTTCAGCTCTAGAAACAATTGTTCGTACTTTCCGTTAATTTAAACAGCTCAGTTGGAATAAAAATGTAGAAATAATGGAATGACTTGGTTTTTTTTCATTAATTGATCACGAGAGTTAAAAGACTTTTATGGACAAAGTTTGGCCTGCTGTTGTTGCGCCCTTTTCAACCCACTCGAAGCCTATATTTGTATGCTCGATAACAATAACTCGAGGAATTTTAATATAATTGTTGAGAGCAGTCAAGTGACTGTAAGTGGTATTGATCAGGGCGTAATTATGAAGGTTTTTCCGTGCATTAAGGGAATCAGTTTAATTTTTATTCATGCATTTTAGGTGTGAAAGCTGAGCATTTTTGCTTATGGACTTGAATTTGAATTTAAGATTTATCATTAATCAAAGTGAACAACTAGACTTTCCTTTTTAAGTACCCGCATGAGTTTGGCTTGGAATTACGCAAGAACAATTAAATGAAACAAGTTAAAAAATTTATTATTAATGTTATTTATTTCCCTATAAAGATTAGTGTATTCGTGTCCCCATTTCTCGCAAAAAAAACTAAGTCATTCTAAATCAAATATACTATCTATATTTATTATCGACTCATTTTTCAAAGATATTGACCAAATGTCATTACTCTATTTATTTCGTAAAGGAACACATAGAACTGCTTAATCCTGATCAGCTGGATACAATATATTTCAAACATCTCTATATCCTCTTCAAAATTAACCTAGCATTGGATCTAACCTTTAAAGGTGTCATTCATCAGATAGCGAGACTGAAAATTTCTCTAACTTACGCACACGAAGCATTAAGAGGGACTGAAAATATGCTGAAGATATGGGAAATTTAGCTTATGGAAACAATTACAGTTCGGTAAATCAAAATAACGGCTTGTATGTACTCATCTGAGGGATTGTCTGCATTATGGGCCACACTAAAGCTAAAAAATTCAGCGAGAATATAGTGAGTTTAGATAAAAGTAAATAGGAATACACTACTCTGGGGAGAATGTCTTGTTGCGCCTTCCATATAAGTCTATTTAATTTTCCCTATTTTTCATTATCGGAAGAAAACAGTCACGGCCGTGCGAAAATGCGATTTATTAAGACAATTTCAATAGGTCTGAAAAATGCAGCAATAAAGATTTTCTGGTGACTAAACAATTAACGCCCAATCATTTTAACGTATCGATAATCTTCCTACTTAATTTATTAAGTAACAAAATTTTTATACTTTTAGAAAGTCACGTATGAACAGGTTCTTCGGGCAAGATGACCTTTAGCTTGGTTTATACCATTGAATTAACTGTTCATGCGTATTATTCAGGTGTTGCCACCCTGTCAAAATGTGCATTTTGCATACGTCAAAGCTGAAAAAGCGTCCTGCTTCAATCGGTGTTGAAACAAACTCCTCCTTAGATTAGTCCACATTAGGCTCAAACGTACATTTAATGAATGGTTATTTAGAGATAGCTACGATTTTGCTAAAAGGTTGTTTCAAAATTATGTATTGTTGATTAAGACTATTAAGTATCATTTTAACGTACTTAGTAGTTCGAGTTTACTAAACTTCAATAGTATCAGGTGAAGTTATTACCGAGGAAAATTGAAAAGGAAAGAGTAAGAGGGTTGAGGCCGTTAATGGGTTAGAAATTGAAAATTGGATCATATCATCAGCGGAATCTTGTAATATTTGAGCTCATCGGGCAGTTAACTACTTTTGACTTCTAATTAAAATGTCATGAAACCGGGATAATACCATAACAGTGTAGTAATCCGCTAAAAACTTCCATCCAGTTATTTTGACAATTTTTTGTGGAAGATTTGTTCGTGCTGCTTTTCTGCCAACCTGTAGTGCTATCTTAACGTGCTTAATAATTTTCAATTTTCGTATTTCATATGATAAAGCTTTAGGATTATTACGTAAGTCGTTGCAGTGTTATGGTCGTTTCATTGAATATATATTATATATATATATATATATATATATATATATTAGGTTGGCAACTAAGTCATTGCCGATTTCAAATAAGAAGGCAAATTCTGAACTTTTGTTTAAAATATAACTTTATTCAATTAGATATTGGCCGTTCTTGTCGATGACCTTTTTCCATCGTTCTGGCAGAGTAAAAATTCCCCCTTCGTAAAATGTCTGGTCTTTGCTATTAAAAAACTGAATTAGGTGTGATCCGACATCATCCGCGTTGTTAAAAATTTTACCATTTAAAGAGTTTTGCATGGAACGAAACAAATGGTAATCCGAAGGCGCAAGGTCAGGGCTATATGGTGGGTGTGACAAAACATCCCAACCCAAGTTCCAATAATTTTTGCCGAGTAACCAAAGATGTGTGGGGCCTTGCGTTATCAAAGATGTGCGGAAAACAACACCCTTCCGATTTGATAATGCCGGCCGCTTATCTTCAATTGCATCCTTCAGTTTTTCCAGTCGTTCAACATACACATTTGAATTTATCGTTTGGTTCTGTGGCATGAGTTCAAAATACAAAATTCCTTTGTGATCCCCCCACCAGACTGACAGCATAATCTTTTTTGGTGAATCTCTGCTGCTTTTGATACTGTTTGGGCTGGTTGATCTTGCTTCACCCATGACCTCTTGCCAGTAACATTGTTATAAACTATCCACTTTTCGTCGCCAGTAACTAGGTTCTTCAGAAATGGATCATTCTCATTCTCATTGCGTTTCAGTAGCGGCGAATCACAGATGCTAATCCATTGCGTCAAATGAATTTCCTTTAACTGCTGGTGAGGGATCCATAAATCAAGTTTCTTGACATAACCAAGGGTTTTTAATTTTTCTTTTTCAATGCATGTATGCGACACATTGAGCTTCTTTGCAATATCTCGTGTTGTGCTGTGACGATTTGAATCGATAATGGCCTTGATATGGGTTTCATCCACTTTGACTGGGCAGCCAAATCGTTGTGAATTTTTCAGTGAAAAATCACCGGAACGAAATCTTTCAAACCAATTTCGACACTGCCTTTCTTTGAAGGCTTCATCTCCATATACGGCACATAACTTCTTTTGTGCTTGCGATGCGTTCTTGCCTTTTCGGAAGTAATACAATAAAATGTGTCGGAAGTGCACGTCCTGTTCTTTCATTTTTAAATTGGAATAAAAACAAAACTAAAGAACTAAACAAAAAAATTTTTTACTAATTAACCTAGAAGCCCATACAGTAAGAAAAAATATAGGTTAGATACTCTGGCCACGTTAACAAAACAAAAGAAAGTATAGAGTGAATCTGTCAACAAAAACGGCAATGACTTAGTTGTGTGTGGTTTAGAAAGCTATTTACCTCTAAGTGACTATTTAAGGATTTTTAAGGTGAAAAAATTTTCCTATTTTTCTACCATTTGTCCTTCATCTAATTGACTGTTCGACCGTTAGTATCACAATTCCCTTAGGAATTAATAATGATTATAAATTTATTCAAAGTTACTTCAAAAAAGCTCTCAAATACCGTCTTGTTGTAGGCAAATAAGTCCAAATAAGTCAATGAATTTTTATGTAGACGATTTGGAATTAAAAGAATTTTACAACATGAGATAAATGCGCAAAGAATATATATTGTGATAACACACTTTCATTTTCACAGGTACCTCGGATATAAACAAATAATAATAATATTAATAATAATAATAAAGCAAGTCACGACGCTTCGAGCTTGAGCCCCGATAATAATTGAAGTACTTCAGCAAGGTTAGTCAGTGAGTCTCTAACTGCCCTTTCACAAATGCCCTCTCCGTCTCGTCGAATTGAATTTGAAATCATAACTGTTGTCATAGATTCACTGATGAGGCTCTCTAGATAAGCAAGTCGTGCATTCTCGTCTGTCGATCCACCAAATGGTATTTGAATATCACCGGAGAGGATTCGTGACTTGAGCTCCTCCGTCACTTTACCCCAGTAGGTTTCGCAAGGATTTAATCGTTCAGTGAAAAGCGGAGCCAGGCGCAATCGATCTGGATGCTTTGATGATGAACTATATTTATCGAATGCATCAGAGACTAGAACTGCATTGCTAAGAAGTTCTGACTGAAGATGCTCGTGAATCCAAGCCTCAACATCATCTGAAGTGTAAAGACCCCGCTTGAAGGAGGCGTGAAGAAATCCCAGGCTGGAGGAAATCGCTGCCAGGCTGTGAATATGCAGTTCTTCAAGACGAGATACAGATTTCCTTGTATGGAGATTGTATACCAAACCACCTATAGGTAAAATGATAAAATAGCATTTTCTTAATGCCCACACGCTGTTAAGGATTAATAAAGTTTTTTTTTATTAAATTCTAATTTGAATAGTTTGAGATGTCTGGCCATGCCGACGATTTAATTAGATAATTAAATAGAAGTCTCTATCAACAAAGGTATTAACTATTTCTCATGGTAATGCCAAAGGTAAACTTTATGGCATTTTTAAACATAATATGGTTATTTATTTCAAAAACCTTTTATTTCCACTCAAGTTTGGTATTCACATATTCTTTTGTTAAAAGCTAAAATTAATTCATTAGGCATAAGTTATTCATTGTAAAATTTTTAATTTTTCATAATGATGTTATATCAAGGCAAAGATTTGTCAATCATTGAATTTGCAAAAGATGGCATTCATTTTCGTTTGTTTATGGCAAATGAATAGGGAATTTCAGTTCATACTTGCCCTCGTTACTGTTCTATAATTAATGGATTTCATAATCCCACCACAAAGTGGACTCACTTGGAAATTTCAATTAGAAGTGGAATTGAAGGCGTGATTTGCATAGAGGAAGGAATGTTTTTGACGTCTTCATCTGCTGCTGTTAGAAAAGAGGTATTACTTTACTCCGACTCTTTTTCACGCTTCGAAATATTTAACACAGAAGAGTTCTTTTGAAAGATTAGATTAATGTTGGCTATCCATTAATTTGCAAGTATGTAACTCGACAACTGAAAGTAACCTAGTTGAGTAAGACAATTTGGTGATTTCATATAGAATTATGAATTTAATTATGAAAGTTGTATTTATTATTTTCCAAATCAGAATCACATGGAGTTCTACTACTACTTCTTAACTATTAGGCAAAGTTAAAAAAAAAGCATACTTGGAGGGACCATTGCCTGCGTGAATACAAAATCTCCCCCCCCCCCCAACCTTGCTATTGTTTCAATTGATTTGCATAAAATTAGTTCAAAAAAAGAATGCACAGATAATTGGCCCTCCTTATCACTCATTGTTCAGCACATAACTTCATTTTTACTTTACAAAACTTCGTCTTTAGTTACATCAGCCTCCGGGTTAACAGGCAGATATTTTTCAGCAATTCATTACTCAAAATTTATTAATTTAGCTATTAACTTACCAAGCCAAATAATCTCCTTTCCCTCTTTTATATAATTTAAGAGAGCTGAAATATATTTTCTTGTTTCCTCCATATTCTCCGGTGACTTATAATTTGGACAAGGATTCTTGCTTCGCGCAAAAACCATCCCACGTAGGTATTTGTGAATTGTAGAAACAGCTGCCGTTACCCCCAATTCCTCTTGCATTCTCTTGCATATTTTAACCAGAGTGATCTTCGGATTTCTTTCATATAGTCCACAAACGAATTTCACAATTTTCGAGTTAACTTGAATGGGGGTAGCTCGCTTCTCAGTCTTCTTTCGCAGGGGTTTTATATGAGGAAATTGCTTTTTATGAGCTGATGCAACCCAATAGTAGGCTGATTGATGTCTAATTCCCAGTTCCTTTGCTCTCTGAGACCAGTTCTTCCCTTCTCGAGCCCACGCAAGAATCTCCTCTTTGACTTGAGGAGGGTATCTTTTAGATACCTGAACCCTAGAGGGATCTTCGTCTTTTTTCATCTCCATGGAGGAAAAAAAATCTTGAAATCAGGCTTTTGACCGCTTTACTATTTTTCTCCAAACGCGTTTTAGAGAGGCATTGATTTTCCTTTTAAGCCGATTGGCTAAGTCGGAGCTGCCCTCCTATTGGTTGGCGTGCGAGTGATGTGTGAAAATCGCTAGTTTCATAGCCCGTAGGAAAAATTAATTTAGCTTGGGAAACGAAAAACAACGAAGCTAACGGACTGACACGGAAAAAAGTTAAAAATAATATTTTCATCTAGATTAAAATAGTAGAAAGTGGAAAAATTATTTTAATGGAGATTTAAACTGGCCATTGAAGCCAAAGTGGAAGTGAACTATTATATATTATCCCATATTTTTTACAAGGTAGCTAGAAGCTATAAATCTTTTCTTAATATCAAAATGTAAGTTTAACCAAGCAAACACTATTTACTCATAAATCTGACTATTTTTAATGCTATCTAAACTGTTTCTGCTTCAAATATCTTACTTGAACTGTAATTTCACGTTTTGCCTCTAGACGCCGATCAACATCTTTAAGCGGTTAGTTGTAATAATAGTACCCAAGATCTTCCAGATATTAGCTTAAATTTCTCAAGACTCTGCGATTACCGTTCTCAAAGCATTACATTAATTGAATTCATCTGTTGGTTCGAAGTAAAGCGGAGTAACTGAGGCGCCGGAAAACCTCGCCTATTCCTTGGAGGTATGCAGATCCTCAACCAAAAACATCATACCAGGAATGCTCAAAGAAAGCGCATATTTAGCACAAATTTATTTGGTTAATTTAAACCAAATATTGCTTCGCTAATATGATTCGAACATCGGACAGATGATATAATACATGTACAAGTATGGAAGTAAAAGGGGAGGGGGGAATAAGTAAATTAAATTAAATTAATTTATAAGAGGCGTGGATGAAAATATATTAATTATGAGGTCGTTGATTGTGAGCTATCAATACTACTTGACGTCTTGGCTAATTTGAGAGCGATCTCCAGCTCTTTTACCTTCTTTCGAAGGTACTTAGTCTCCAGAAATTCATCCAATTTACAGTATACCTCAATAACTTCCTCCTTCTCGGGATCAAAATGTATAATATATCTTGGATTATGCTCGTTTCCGTCCCTACTACCTCTATCTCTGGGTAATTTGTAACTTTCCACTTCATCTAAAACAGAGATTCAACAACGTTTCAGGCCATAGCATAGGATGGAGCTGTTAGGACGGCCACTTTCATAGTACTTACCACTATTCGAGCAAGAGATGTAGTTAGATCCTCCATTCTCGTCTGGAGATACGAACATTTTAATATCACTGCCTTGGGAATTTTCACGAATTTCACAATATAATGCCTCCAATTCATTGATTTCAATGAGAAGCTTATTGATACACTCCTTACCCTTTCGCAAACGCTCTCTTTTCCCCAGCTCATAATCCAACTCACGGTAATTTGACACTTCAACTGATGTGTGGAGGGAGCTAGACTCACTTGAAACTGATCGGCTGAGTTGTGAAGATTGTCCTATTTCCTGAGAACTATCGTGTTCACTGCTCTCTCCTAAACTTGTACAATGGCAGTAACATGACTCTTCTGATTTTTCAGATGAGACGGGGCTGTAGTAATCCGAATTCATCAGCTTATTTTTGAATGAATGGTAATGATTGCAGTTGCTTTTGTATTTAAGAGGGTATGAGTTTCAATCAATGAATTTACATCCTTTCAATGCAAACACCGTTATTTTGTGTTTATCATTTCACAATATTCATTTTTTAAATTAAATTCTATTCTGTTAACTAGAAATTAGTCCACTTTATAATTACTAATACTCTAGCGAATGTTATTGACTTAAAATCTCAAGAAACGTACTTATATAAAAAGAACTACGTAATTGGTGTAATTTTCTTTTAAATTCACGTGCATTTAGGGGTAAAAAAAACTAGTAATAGGCTTAAATGATGATGTTTCGGTTTAGCATTGATGCCTTCAGCTGTCTGTTGATGTATTCAGAATCCCAAATTGGTTTTAGAACGTCTATGTTAGGGGAATGCACATCACAGAGCCGTCTTATTACTGATCATAATCTTTTCCAATGTATATGAACATTTATTTATTTATTTATATCAATTGGCAGACGTTTTGGTAGTTACCATCAGCCCTTTAGTTGACTTCAGGCTCCACAGAGGGTAGAAAAAAGGTGATGTGAGTAATGTGGAAGTATTCAAATATGACACAGTGGGGTCATGGTAGTTTGAAGTCAACTGCCGGTCAATAGACTTTTTGCCGTATGAGTATACGTTGCCCAGGGTGCACCACGTGGAGGTAAGTCTATCCTACACCCCATGTATATGAACATAAAATAGATTTAGTAATTTCATCTGGTGAGTGTGTGGGAATGGGTGTTGGGGTAGCTGGGTGTGTGAGGAGGAGGGGGGGGGGGGGGGGGGGGGGGGGNATATAGGATAATAATGAGGATTGCGTTTGAATGGTTTCAATTGGGAAGAAGGTGTCAGTCCTCAACTAAGAGACGAAAATAATGCTAGGTGGAAAGGTGGAATAGAGTACCCTATAGAGGAGAGGGGTATCAAATATAAGTACATAGATAACTTAAGGGGGTATTCTGGTCTAGAGACATGAATTTTAGGTAAGTTTTGAAATGGTGTTAAAAAAGCAAGCAATATTTTTAATATCATTTTTTGCATTATTTATTCACATTGGAAGCATACAACAAAATAAAAAGTAAAAAATATTCAAGATTCCGTTAGTTATCAACTGATGGAGTGGGGCGTCTAAAAGAATTTGGTGCGTGACTATACCCACGATTTTAACTTTCCTATCAATCGGAAATCAAAAAATAAAAAAGGTTATCAATCTGCAATAATGTCGTAATGTCTGGTACTACGGATAAGTTACAAAAATTTTTCACCAAAATGGCGACTGCCTAAAGAAAAAAAAACATTTTTTGTACCACCTTTTTGAACATTCTTCGATTTTTTAAAAATAGTAAAAATGAAAATTTGGGGATGGCCGTAGTTACGGACATAGCCAAGTCTCTAAGGAAGACTCTTTTAAAATTTCAAGTAAATCGGTTCGGCAGAGCCTGAGAAATCGTGGACATCAGATTCAAAAAGACAGTTCTGAGAAAAACTCGTTTAAAGTTTCAAGTAAAATTTTCGCAGTCTAAATCATAAAATTATATTTTTAACTTACATTTATTCAATCTGCCATTCCTCCTGCATTCATCGCACCTCCCTCGACTTCGAAAATAACTATTTTCGGCGTCTCTGTTTTCTATTCGAGCAGTTCTGGCCTCTGATGCGCTGGATGCTCGTATCTCGGAGCGGTCAATCAGAGCGTTGTCTCGTCTGATAGCATCTCGGAGCGGTCAATCAGAGCGTTGTCTCGTCTGATAGCGAATTCATGCGCTTCTGGACCAATTTTCACTCCCATAATCGTCATCATCTTCAATATCGGTATAAAGCCTTCATTAAAAATATACACAGCAATAAATGTTGCAATTTCAATGATCTGAGACCGGAAAAAAGTCCATATCACCGAGTTTAGAGACTCATTAATATTTTGAGTTTCTGAACCCAAACATCGAATCAATAACTCTTCTGATGATAAACTCCGAAGGATTTGTCAATGAATGGGCACGATGGAATGTAGCGTAGACTATCGCGACTGCATTGTAATGCAATGTTGAACCCGAGTCCGCGTTGAGCCGTTCTTGAAAATATAATCTCGTTGTTGCATGTAGTGCCCAAAACAAACGAAGAAATCGCTGAAAAAAACGTGAAAACTCCAAAACACAGTAGCCGTAATTATTATCATTTACTGCTGATGCTGTTTTCCTGTTCCGTAAATCCATTACCGTGAAATCGTCTTTTTTGTCGCTCTGGACGTGTAATCCTTTGCGCTGAGGATTTTTTATCCATTTTATTTAGAAATTTGAAATAATAACTCAAAATGTATATATATATATATATATATATATATATATATATATAACGGAACAAAAGGGCTTACTACGAAATATAGATTCAGATAGTCGGAGAGCCCATTTTGTCTTTTGTTCGATTGGTTGCAGCCCAACTGGTTTGGATGCCTGCCCAGCAAGTTACTTATTTCTCCGAAAATAATTTGAATTCTGGAAAATCCTGTAGTACGCATATTCTTAAATGGTTAAACTATGAAAATATGAAAGGAAAAATCGACTTTTTATTTCTAGACCAGAATACCCCTTAAATGTTTATTTATTTACTTATTTATATCAAATGGCAGACGTTTTGAAGGTTATCATTAGCCCTTTAGTTGACTTCAGGCTTCACAGAGGAGAAGAAAAAAAGTCGAGAGGAAGCAAACTGAAGAGTGTTTTAAAGACGAAGGTTGAAAATTTAGAAAAAAACGTGATGTAGTACTGTGGAAGTGGTCGAATATGTCATACAGTGGGGTCCTGGTAGTTTGAAGTCAACTGCCGGTTAATTGACTTTTTTGCCGTATGAGTATACGTTGCCCAGGGTGCACCACGTGGAGGTAAGTCTATCGAACACCCCACCCCCTTAAATGTTATGACAACTATCGCAAGAGACACGAAATTGCCCCGTTCATATAATATGGCTTAAATTTAATGGAAAGAGTCATACAATTTCGAGAAAGTGTTATAAGTTTGGTGGTTGTCACTTCTGTATTAAGCTTTGGGATGTCGCAAATCATAGTTACAAGCAGAAGTTTATTGTCAAATTTGCCTTTTGCCTACTCTTATTCGTATTTCCTTTTGGCCAGCATTAAAATACGCTTTTCGTTAGCTTAATCTTATGCATATTAGTTGGTTGTCACCTTACCTCCGAAATTTGCCTAATATCTTATTTTCTTCAATTAAATTCGAACATCTGAAAGTCCTCTTGTGTACATCTGTCCTTGAAGGGGTTATTGGATCAATGTGCATTGTTGATAATGCAGTTTTGTCCATAAGCAAATGAACTGATTGATTTTACCATTGAGATGGTACAATACGAGTACATTATGTAACACTTAGCAGCTTAAGTTTAAAATGAGGAAGTTTCATTTAAGACAATATTACAGGAACAGTTTGTGAATACATTCATTATTGGTCACCTTCTCATTTCCATTCGAATACTTTTATTTGGAAAAATAATCTATAACCTTAACAGTCAGTTTTACCATCATCCATGTATCTAGTTTGGCATCAAATATTGCCTTAACATTTATAAGAATAATAGATATTTAAATTTCGGAATTTCGAAACAGGTTACATAATTACTGAACGGGTTTAATTGGATAAGAAGAAATGCTCTTTATCAGGTAAAAGTTAAAAAGTATCATGATAAGAAGTGAATACCTTGTAATGAAAACCTTGTAGGGCTAAAGCCAATGGTAGTTTTTTGCATTTTTGAAGCATTTAAAAATTTCGATTGATGAAATGAAGTCAGCCGTAACCACGTTGGTATAAACAGCGCGTAGCCCGTATCTTTGAATTTAGATACATCTTTATATGATTAGCTTATTGACTTAATAAATGGTGAAATAAAAAAAAACGTTAGAATTTTTAGGAGATTAATGATAAATTGAGGGGTGTGCGATAGACTTACCTCTACGTGGTGCACCCTGGGCAACGTATACTCATACGGCAAAAAAGTCTATTATTCGGCAGTTGACTTCTGACTTCAAACTTCCACGACCCCACTGTATGTCATATTCGACTACCTTCACAGTACTCATCCCACCTTTTTTCACCTAATCTACCTTCGTCTTTGATACACTCTTCTGCCCCCCTCTTGAATTTTTTATACTTTGATGTTCCTTCCCCTCTGTGAAGCCTGAAGTCAACTAAAGGGCTAATGATAACAATCAAAACGCCTGCCATTTGATCTAAAAAAATGATAAATTGAATGGCTTTGAAGTTTTTGCCATGAATCATTTTTACAACTACAATTATCTCTCGCAGAAGGAGTAAGTTAACTCTAATCTCTCAGATAGGAGTAGAATATTAGAGCCTTCATGAAGAAACTGTTAA